CTATGCACGATGAAGAACTATAGTTTTGAGGACAATTTTTTATTTATATGGATAAATAAATAATACTTAATGTCGGACAAATAAAGTTATGAATCAACTATTCTTGTAAATATACCTCACCCTTCAAAAAAATAGTACAGTTATTCATCAGATAGCTGAGTTGTAATTTTCTCGGATATTCTCAGACAAAGTGAAAATTTTAATGTTATTGAAGCAAAAATACCTATTCCTGTAAATAAATGTAATGCAATCAGTTATACAAGTACGTATTGCGATACAATTTCGCCATTGTTGTCTCAATAATTGCAAAATGTTATTGACACAAGAGCTAAACAATATATTTCACTTCGTTGTTTCTACAAAAATCTACGATTCTCCAGTTTATTAACCGCTACGGAGTTCTTAACCATTCTACTACGCATTTACTACACTACTAATCTAGTACTACGACGTATATGGTACGTGGGTATTACGAATCTGCTACACGGGTATTACGAATCTGCTACGCTGCTACGACGTATCTGCTACGCTCCTTCGACGTTTGTGCTACGCGGGTACTACGTATCTGCTACGCTGCTACAACGTTTCTGCTACTACTGTAGCAGATTAGAGCTAGTCTACGACATGCCTCCTGCGCTATTAGTATGTGTCTGCTACACTGCTACTGCAATTGCAATTTGCATTTGCCATGGTTCTACTACACAGAGACTACGTACCTACAACGCACATGACATAGCTACTAGGCAGATTATATGTAACTGCTACGCACATGCTCGTACAAAATTTCTAGATTGCTCCTGCTAAGTAGTTATTATAACACAATATATCATGTTATGGAAAACTCACACCGTAGCTACAAAACTATGACGCCACTACCGCAACACTTGTAAGCATTTGTTTTATTGCTACGCGGCCTAAGTAAGACATCAACGCAAAGGTCGAAATTGTAGCTATGTTCGTTCAGTCAGAGATTTTTTAACACACTCTAATCGTAAGTCTTCAGTTCAAATGTATGTTTGGAAACTGGTTGTGTTTTGTGCATACAAATAACTTAGTACTAATAACAATTTTGTCTTAAATTATATGAAAATGGGCTATCAAACACCTATTACTTCGTTGTATTACTAGTCTTCAGGAAACAATAATACATTACTTATGTTATGAATGTTTCACATACTGTTACTATCGTCTACAGAGTTGTTAAACATAATAAAATGTTTAAGTAATCATGTCGAACAATAAAATAACGTTTGTAATGAGGATGAGAGGCTCCTTATAAACCCACATCAAAAAAGCTGAGATAAAAAATTCGTTCCTATGAGTTACAATATTAAAAGTCGTACAAAAAATCATATGTGCTTATACATATTTTGCTTCTAGGAACTTCAATGAGATAAGTTGTTGAACACGTGTGCAGAGAAAAAAGTTGCAAGTAATTACTCATCTGGAATTGTTAAAAAAGCCTTATGATAATCATATTAAGTATTTCATAAATCTACCATTACGTACTATCTATGGGTAAGACGTTAAAAAAACTCCGTGATTTTTCGTCCGCGGTACCTAATAATGACTTTACTAGCCGACCTATCGCAATGTACAGGGTGACTAGTAACTCGATGTATTCCTCTCGGGAGGTGATAATACAACAAATTTTCTACAAAAATAGCCCTGAGGTCTCTGGTCCGAAAGTAGCTAGTTTCTGAGATATTCAATATTTTCGGTTTTCGTGAAAAAATCCCGATCGAACTACAAAAACATCAACAAATAAAAAACTACTGGTTTGATTCAAGTAATTTTAGATTTAATTTGTTGTCAATACATTAATTCGCATTTATTAATATTAAAACAGAATAACATTCGTTTTAAAAAAGCAAGGTAACTAGTATCAAATTTCAAATTTGTTTTGAGTCATTAATTTGGTCAATAGAAAACTGCATTTAGCTTAAAAAATCGTATTACACTAAGCGTACAAACTATAAATTAGAAAAACTTCCTCGGTTTATTAGCTACCTACCCAAAAAATATTAAATAAATTATTTATAAAATTCCCAAAATTGATGATAAGTGTTAAGGAAAACGGGCAATTTCAAAAACATCATTATTTTCAAAATTTTATTCAAAGTGACCTCCCTATGATGGATACATGCTAGCACACACTTCCTTATCTCAGTAGCTGTCACGAATGAAGTGAATGTGCGTCTTAATTTTTCAGCCCTTACTGAATATCTCAGAAACTACTACAACTACTTTCGGACCAGATACATCAGGGCTAATTTTGTAGGAAGTTAGTAACTACTTTTGTATTATCACCTCCCGAGTGGAATACGTCGACTTGCAAGTCACCCTGTAGGTATAGGTATATCAAATTGTGTAATATTTAATTTTGTCGTGTTCGCTATCGCTAAGATAAATTTTGTATAAAAAAGATTCGATACCCTCATCGGGAACATAAATAAAGAGCATCTAACCGAAGCTGGTCGCTAGTATGTAATAAATATATCTTGTAATTGTAAAATTACTTGTAACTTCAATTATGTATAATATTTTACCAATTTTACGTAATATGGAAAATGTTACGTAAAATGTTTCAATTTCCATAGTAAACATAACCAGCATATGATTGAGTTTTTATCGACTCGATTAGTCCTTGTACATACATCACGTGTCTACATTGTAATATTCGTGAGTTGTGTAGATCAAGCAAAAAAGCGTATAGGTATTATTAAGCGATACTACTTAAAAGCTTTTTGAAAAACTGTAATGAATACGCTTTATAAATATCCGACATACCTTCTGTTATTCCCCAAAAGGGAAAGCAGTAGCTCTATAGATGTCGCAGAGAACCTAACAGGTTACCGGGGCCCCGGCTCGAAGCGCAGGAGCAGGAACGGGGTGGTTCTTAGTAAGGAGAAGTCAATGGATGATTTTCCCTCCTTAAAAAAAAAGTAGCTCTATAGATTTTATAGATTTAGAGATACTTGTATTGTTACCTGTATATATATTCCCCAAATCCTATTTCTGTTTTAAAAAATAACTTTCAACAATAAATTCTTCGGGATTCGTAGTAATAAGTGAATTTAGAGTCTGACACTTGCTATCACCCACCTCACCCAAGGCGAAAAAAGTCATATTACGGCGTCTTCATCCTGTATCGTAATTCAAAAATCGCGCCAAATAAGAAATAAATTACCAGTGTAAAAAATATTATATTATGGTAAATTTTCAATTGTTTGATCTTAAATTAATAACTGCAACCCTAACCCAAATATGATGGATTGTTCCCTAATAGTATTGTAATTAATTCAATTTGTCTAACTACCAGAGAGAAAATGCACACAAATCTAGTGAATAAGTCACAATATGCACAAGTACCAAATAAAGTTTGCGGTAGATAAAATAAAAATACAAATTATGCATTTTTTTTTTAAGGGGGGAAAATCGTCGAGTGACTGCTCCCGCCTGGGTGAGGCGGAAGGGAGTGTCTTACTGACTAAAAACCACCCCGTTCCTTCTCCTGCACGTCGAGCCGGAGCCCCGGTTACCCGTTAGGTAGTCCGCGACTCCGAATCGGCATCGGCCCTATTGGGCCCCATGTGTGGTGGTCTGATGGCTCTTTGAGGCGCGCGCGAAACGCGACGCGCCGTACGTTCGAGTCTGTTTCTGGTCGGACGGGGAGCCACCCATGCTCCCCGTCCGCAGGCCCGCGCTTACGGTGGCCGGAGATCGTCTCGCGATCCCCGACGCCCGGTGTGTCCTTCGCGATGGCTGGGTTGCGAGGAGGCAGCGCTTCGCTGCCTCACGCGTCCCGCCTACTCCTTAGCTAGCATGACTGCTTCGCAAAAGGAGGAGACGGCATCCCAGTCCCCCTCGCTCCGCATCATGGCCCGCACTAGGCCCGGACGCGAGAGGTCGCCATCGCCGATTACTTCCCTGAGGGCACGGCGGTGCTCAGCCCACGCAGGGCATTCCGCTACAGTGTGTTCCACCGTGTCCTCAGGGCGGTCCTCGCAGTGATGACACCCGGGCGTTTCCTCCCGCCCCATCAGACACAGGTACCTCCCGAAACTTCCATGTCCGGTGAGGACCTGCGTCAGGCGGTAGGTGAGGACGCCGTAGCGTCTTTCAAGCCACTCCTCAAAGAGGGGACTTACCGCTGCGATGGCAGCGAGCCCAACAAATTATGCATTGGAATATAATAAATACAGATAAAGTACCTAATTTTAAATTTTGATAGAATTGGTTGAACTTTGCGGAGGCCAATGAATGAGGCGGAATTAAGAACGTATTGTATTGGTTATACTAATAACTGATAAGATGGTGTTGATTGATAATAAAAGTAACTTTGCTTCTTTTAAAAGATTAAAAAAATTAAGGCATACTTATTACGTATGTAGAAACTAACTATTTATTGATTGTTACAGCTATTTTTCTGCTCAGAAAAAACGATATCAGAACAGAAAGAATTGGTAAGAATGTCAAGTAAGAACAGTCATACGCCAACACTACTACTGAATTGTTTGAAAGATGAAGGTATAAAAGGAGCATAAACAGACGCTCAACATTAGTTGTTTTCAACTCCTTACGTCTTGGCAACACCAATGTGATTGTCAGTGTCAGTCTTACGTCAATTAACTTTGACGCGCTAAATCTGAAGTCCAAAGTTTATTTTTATTTATTTTATCTGTTTTCGTATCTTATTTAAGGGCAAACTTCAATGTGTTCAGATATCAGATTATTTTTGTAAAGTGTGAGTCGTGTAATCCTTTAGAGCCGTAAATTGAGTGGTGAGTGCTGTTATTGGATGATAACTAATATGATATTTTAGTGGGGTGTGGAAGATTACAGAGTTAATAATGTTTCCCACGAATAACATGTAAACTTTCGCTAACTCATGAGCAGCGCACTGGTGTAGTAGTGTATAGAGTTTTATTTAATTCTAGTTTCTGATCGCGTTTCCGCAGATAACTTTTATAATTACTGATAATAGTGTTTTTTATAAAATGTTAATAGGAAGGATTAGCCAGTTATTAATTAAGCGTTCCATCCACATATCGCCGAGATTAAATCAAGCAATGGGTATCGACGGAAATACGATTTTAGCTGAGAGTTTGAAAAAACAGGTGAGTTTTGAACTTTCATCCTAAAACTTTCTAACAAGTTTTAAACTTCTTTATGTAGTACTCTATGAAAAAAGAGGATAAAGTTTATCCTCTCAAAATGAACATTATAACAATATTATCAAAATAATCTCAATAAAAGTACACTTCCAATTAGGGGCATTGACCTAAATTTAATGGCAATAATGATTATTCATATTTAAAAATACATCATCTTTACCTGTAAAGTGAATTAATACAAAATATAATTTATTCTAGGGTGTGGAGTATGTATTTGGCATAGTCGGTATCCCTGTGATTGAGACGGCCCTGGCATTCCAATCCGCTGGCTTGAAGTATGTGGGCATGCGCAATGAACAGGCTGCCTGTTACGCTGCACAGGCTGTTGGATACCTAACAGGTAATAATTTATTATTATTAATAACACTTTAAAATTGGGAAGATAGTATCTACCCATAACACAACTGGACTGTGATACTTATACAATTCAAAGCATAGGAATTAGTTCATAAAATTAACATAGTGTGTAATACAACAACATTAATAATATACATGTTAAAGTTCAATTTTAATCATAAATATTTAATAGTTCAATAATTAAAAATTAATAAACATAATTAGCCTTACAATATTCATTGAGTTTAACAATGGTACCAACACTGACCTATGTAATAAATATAGAGTTATGTTACATGTAAAGTTCTATACACAAAGTTTATTAATATTTTAGTTTATCTGTAGTATCAATAAGTACCAGAGTACACAGATTACACAGTCATGTAATTGAAAGTGAAAAGATATACAACACCCCCCCTACCTCCTCTGCTCCTACCCAACCTTTTGTTATCTGTCTACCTCCCCGTTAAGTTACCTCCTTTCATCACTGCCTGCCTGATTACTGATTATCTAATCCTATTTCTAAATTTAAGTGGTCTGCTACCTGATAGGAACCAGTATACCAAACTTAATATATTTATAATCAATACCTACAACCTATTCCTACCTACATACATAAGTAGGAAATATGTTCAGTTAGAGCTGGCTTTAAAAACACCAGCTATATTAAAAAAAAGTATTTGAAGCGTATGTTTAAAGAAAGAATATAATAATAGGACTCAAGCATTAAGCCAATAAATTATTGTAATTTATTATAATATAAAAAACGTGTATTTTATCTGTATCTGAAAGCAAAAATATAGATTATTACATTACTTGCTGTGATAATGATAACTATTACGTGTTTCGGTTGATATCAATAACTGAGATAAATGAAGTCCCATGTGCTTGTTTGTTTTTCTATACATCCTGTTACATTTATTATAAGAATGTGATAATAACAATGAATTGATAAATTACTCATATTAAATAAACAAAAAGAGGGAATATTTTCTTTCATTTATGAATGCTATTATATTAGTTACAATAGCTACAACCATTTTGATTAACTATAAAATAATAATTTCGAACATCATGTTAAATCATGTGGATAGAGATAAAACAAGTACAATATACATAGCCCCATGCATTGTACTTGTACCACAGAGTACCCAGTACCCACCCAACCCACACATTAATCAATTGCAGCTGTATGCAATGGCTTTTAAGTATTACATTCATGACCTTTCTGAAGGATATCTCTATTTGCTGACGTAATGTATTTGTTCAAATTACAGGTAAACCAGGTGTTTGTTTGGCTGTGTCTGGCCCTGGTTTGTTGCACTGCATCGGTGGTATGGCCAATGCTCAAGTGAACTGCTGGCCGCTTATAGTCATCGCTGGCTCATGCCCTCAAGACCATGAAGGTATCGGAGGGTTCCAGGAATGGCCTCAGGTATAACAAAATTCAATATTCATAAACAATTAAAAATAGTATGTCCGCCATGTTTATTCGGTAAAAAGTATGTCGTCACAAATTGTTATATAAGGAAGGTATACAGAATCACTTAAAACTAGTTAAAACTTATTAATTATCAAGGTTAATGTATGCTACTAAGACCAGATACTTACAGAAGGATTTTCGAATTTTACGCCGCACTAACTGACTTCATATTGACTTTCAGATTTGTAGTTTAATATGTTATTGTAATAAACTTATGTAATGCCGCCATATCTACGCGAACGATAAGATTAAGTGCAAATTCCAAATTTTAATCTTACAATAAAATAAAATATAAACCAGAATAAGTATGTAGGTACTTAGATTCAATTGTCATTGTTAGGTAAACTGTTGAATTGGTAATTTTTATTACCTACTAGCTTCTGCCCGCGACTTCGTACGCGCAATCCCATTTTCCCCCGTTCCCGTTCGTGATTTTCGATAAAAAGTAAAAAAAAAGTATTCTATAAAAAGTATCCTATGTCCTTCTCCTGGTTCTAAGCTACCTCCCTGCCAATTTTCATCTAAATCGATTGAGGCGTTCTTGAGTTATAAATAGTGTAACTAACACGACTTTCTTTTATATATATAGATGTAGGTACAAAGTTCAACGGTCAATGAACATATACAAATACATACATACTTATACCTAGTCTAGTATAGTTTCATCAATATTCAATCAAATTCTACTCAATCATTCTAACTAGATCCAAAACTTGGATCTAAAATTAAATTATTCATCTCTTGCTATACTTACCACACTATTAGGAATAGACACTTTCAGATATTGAATCTGAAGTATCCTGAAATTAGTAAGATTATTATGTACCTACATTCATCTGGATTTGCAACAACTTTATATCAATTATATCAAAATCTTTGTAAGAAATAAGTCGTTAGTATTTACTTGTTATTACAGAATTTCCCTTGACGACGTCCTTGAACGAAGATTATTTGTATATTAGTACTTATTAGCATATTATATCTTGTAATTATAATTATGATAAGCTCTAGTCTCATGTAGTTATTAATTGAATAGTATGTTAAAATTCTTATTATGTGTTGCCTAGATAGATGTGTACTTAAATACGGTTAAATACCTACCTTCCTATTAAAATTATGCTTGGACACATAACATAACATCACTTTTTTATCCCTGAAGGGGTAGGCAGAAGTCCACATTGCGGCAATTAATTGCCACTGTACAATGTAACATTCACTTTTCACTATTTATGTTATGAGTCTCATGTAATAGGGGGTAAGCCTATTGCCATATACCGGACACGATTCCTGACTCCGTGCTCCTACTGAGACTTTTTTTTAAACCCAGTAATACTTTGCCCGACCCGGGAATCGAATCCGATATCCCTTGCCCAGCAGTCGCACTTGATTTCCTAATTTCCTATTGTACATATAATAATAATATACATGTATTGATGCATCGTTCAGATTACCGCCCACACGTATGCAGATAGTAGATACCACGTACAGAAAATTAAAAAAGCCCTGAGTAGGTATCTGCAATCAAAATTGAACATCTAATAAGTACTACCTAGGTACTAACTTATGAAAATAATATTAATATTAGGTAACATGCAGAAAACGTACTTAGCTAAAGCAAAAAAGAATTACTTAGGTTAGCTATATTAGAGTGATGCCATTGAGTCTTTCATTGTCCCTACCTAATGGGAGATATGTGTACCTAATGATGCGTTTCTGAGTTTTTAATATAAATGAGTATTAATAAAACTATACATATTTTCACAGGTGGAATCCAGTCGTCTGTACTGCAAGTATGCTGCCAGGCCACCGTCACCTCGTCTCATTCCACTGCACGTGGAGAAAGCAGTACGTCTGGCCGCCTCAGGCCGCCCTGGAGTCTCATACTTAGACATGCCTGGAACCTTGCTCATGGTAAAATATCACTATACCTTTTATTTTTAATATAACGTTGTCCCACATTAGGATTTTCTCCTGTGTCGTGGGTGCGTTTACAAACATACAAGTTCAAATACACAATGACACCCAGACCCGAAACAACAATTTGTGGATCACACAAAGTGTTATTCCGTGCGGGAATCGAACCCGGGACACGTTGCACGGCAGGCGGTTGCCCAGCCACCGCACCAACAAAACAGCCACTGCAGTCAAATTATTGAAATTTTAAAAGTCAGAATACTGAGATATTAGTACCTATATAACTACATACATACCTATATTATAAAAGACATTTTGTGTAGGTAAATAGGATGTATTGTTTGGCTACAAACAAACTGCAATGATGTGATAATGACATCATAATTAATTTTCGTAGTAATTACTTCAATGTGAGTTTCATTATGTTACCATATTTCTTAATCTGTATCAAATAAAAAATAAAAATATATACATACTACATACTAATAAATATAGCTATTGTAAAGATTTAGATTACTGCTATTAACAGTGCTGTAACAAACAATGCTGTATTAATTGTTGTATTCAAAATCCCATTTACGTAAAATGATTAATAGTTTGTTGCATCAGACAAGTAAAAGTCAACTGTAATACAAAGTATTATTAATTGCATTTTCATTCTTAACAACATGTTTATGAGATGCTAATTTTATCTAAGAAGCGACATGAAGAGATATAAAAATATTATTTTTGCAACAAACCTTTTTAGCAAAGTACTTGTTAACATTTTTAAGTAAATACCAAGTGAAAAATCATGTCTGTTTTCCACTTAATATGGTTTGATTTGATACAGGCTGAAGCTGATGAAGATAAAGTGCCAATGGACTTCTATAATGCGCCTCCCGTGGCTCTGGCGCATCCCAACCCTGCCTTAGTGTCACAAGCCGCGGACCTCTTGGCTAAAGCTGAACGCCCCCTCATCATCGTGGGTAAAGGCGCCGCCCACGCACGCGCTGAGGAAGAAATCTGCAAGCTCGTGGAAAATACCAAGCTGCCCTTCTTACCCACACCTATGGGTATGTGTGAAATGTAAAACTTTTCAATCAACAATTTACCATAGAATGTCGAGGAATGGTAATGGATTATTTATTTCCGTACAATTAAGATCGATTGTTCGTGGTACATTGTTGGTATGTTGTTTTTTATTATATTAATTGTTCTTGGTTAATAAAAACATAAAGTACCCTTACCCTTTGCACCCTTTATTCTACATATAGGTGTGCACAGGGGCAATATACATGCACATTTCGCTCTCTAGTTCCTAAATAATAAATAAAAATATGCCTGCCATTATATCCTCTAGCTAATTAGTATAATAGCTGCATTCTCATATTCTCTAAATACCTAATTATTATTAATTCACAAATTCAGGTAAAGGAGTAGTACCTGACGAGTCAGAGTATTGCGTGTCGACTGCGCGCACGCAAGCTCTTCTCAAAGCCGACGTCATTCTGCTACTGGGTGCCAGACTCAACTGGATGCTACATTTCGGACAACAGCCACGCTTCGCACCCGATGTTAAAGTGATACAGGTAATGTATAGGAATAAACTATTTAAAATAAATAGGTTACATAACACAAAGTTATAATAATCATGCGTGCTGTGATGTAACATCACTCTTTTTAATCCCCGATAAAGTAGGCAGAGCCGTGAAAATACATTTTCACCAGTTATGGTATGATCTTATCCCATGTTTTTTAGCTTCAAACTGTTACACAAATACTTTTATTATTATGAGCCCCTGTTTACCATTTCGAGGAATAAAGAGATGAGGTTCAAACAAATTCATTTTAAATAATGTATTTGTTTAAACTGTAAAATAAAGACTAATCAATAGGCTACAATCAATCGGCCATAATTATCATCGCTTGCCACCAGGCGAGTTGGAGGCCAAACGCCATCTTATTAACAATAAAAAAATTGTAATCAATGTTATTAATCATAAAACAAAATAATAATTTGTTCCAGGTTGATATAAGCCCCGAAGAGTTCCACAACAGTATCAAATCTGAAGTGGCTGTCCACTCGGACATCAAGCCATTTACTGCGGCCCTCACACAGAAACTAGCTGAGAAGAAATTTAGCCTGCAGCCGGCTAGCAATAACTGGTGGCAAGGACTCCAGCAGAAACAGAAGGCTAACACAGAGTTTGTCCAGGTAAAACTAGTGTTTTAAATACTTCCTTAAAATAAGTGAAACATTGACTCTGGTATGTTCACTGTGAGTAGGTTTCACAGTAACAAATAATTGATGTTTTAATAATAGATTTGATGTGCATTCACAAAAATTATTTTTCTCACGATTCGTTCGTTATGACAATTGAAGTGACGTCGTCTTCTTTTGTAACACCTTTCTCACGTTTTAATTCTATTAAGGGAATTGTTTTAAAATACTCTTAGGGAAGAATTATCTAAATATGAAACATTTTTCTCTACCAGGCTCAAGCGAACAACAAGACATTGCCACTCAACTACTTCGCAGTATTCAAAGCTGTTCAGGCGAACATTCCAAAGGACTCCATCATTGTGAGCGAAGGAGCGAATACCATGGATATCGGTAGAGGAATGTTACTGAACAACAAGCCCCGACACAGGCTCGACGCTGGCACCTTCGGCACCATGGGAGTAAGTTGAATACTGACCATCTTTTGAAAAAAAAATGCTATCTCAATTATAGTTACCACAAACAAAATGTATAATTTTATAAAAGCTACAGTAGTCTTTAGTACCTGTCACTGTTTTACATTTAGAAATATAATTATAAGTGATTCAGATGTTCCTCATACTCCACTCTAAATAAAAATATGTTAATTCAAGGTGGGCCCTGGTTTCGCCGTCGCCGCAGCTATGTGGTGCCGCGACTATGCACCGGAAAAACGTGTCATTTGCGTTGAAGGGGACTCGGCCTTTGGCTTCTCTGGTATGTTTACATTACATATAGAATAATGAATACAATGATTAAAAACTCGCTTCATGTTTTAACACTAACAATATTGTCAAGGAATGTCAATAATTACATGTTACCATATCGATTATTATGAATGCATAACCATTATATCCTGAGTCATACATACGTCGTATTGATTTTCGTATTATATTTCACAGGTATGGAGATCGAGACTATGTTCCGCTACAAACTGCCCGTAGTTATTGTCATTGTAAACAACAGCGGTATCTACAGTGGCTTCCCTAAAGATGTCATGGAAGACATACAGTCAGGTGGCGATATCGCACAGTGGTAAGTTTATTCGAATTTAATAACATCAAACATTGATTGCTTATTTATAAAGCTTGTTTCATAACATCTCAATTATTTTCCCAGCACTCCACCCACAGCTCTTAGCTGTGAGATCAAATACGAAAAGATGATGGAAATTTTCGGCGAGAGTGGACACCTCTGCCGCACTGTTGAAGAAATTGAAGCAGCGCTAAAGAAAGCATTAGCAGTAACTGACAAGCCCAGTATCATCAATATACTTATTGACCCATCATCCAATAGGAAACCACAGACATTCAACTGGCTTACTGAATCTAAACTGTGATATGGATTTATGTATTGAAATAATTTTACAAGCACATTGCCAACAGGGTGGTGGGGACAATGATGTCAGAGATCAACTGCCTTCTAAGAATAACATTCTTACTGCATTTCTTTTGATATGTATATTTTTATTTAAATTAAGTGGCATTCATGTTTACAAATGTATATACTGCATAGTAATGCTGTTGTAAGGTACTTAAATAAAACAAACATGGACGTTGATATTGTCTGTAATTGAGTCATACTTATTTATGGTCACATTGTTGTAATTGTATATAATGAACTTAAAAATATATATAAATTTACATTATAAACTAAATCCCTGTATTTTCATTTAACTCCTGGAGGCAAATGAATCTGCTGTCTTGGTTGTCCAGAGCAACATAAGATGAGCAGAAATTGTATAAGTAATAGTATATTATGTTTACATTTTGCTGAGGCAACCAATCAAAAAATTCTCTATCACAGTTTGTGCTGGAAAAGAGAAAACATACCCATTAGTAGAACAAATCAACAAAGACTCGCTTTTCATCAACTTGATGTAAATATATTTACCCAGTTTGCAGTTATTGGTAGTGGTCAGTGTGTAAGCATCTTGGTCATAATCATTGGTAAGAGTGAGATCAGCTCCTCGGATAAGGAGCTCATTGCAAGTGTAAGGGAAGTCAGCTGCTGCTGCATACATCAATGCTGTGCTACCAGACTGAAAACAAAACAACACTATGAAACACTAGTTCATGAAAAAAATAAAATATCAAATCAACTCCAATAATATAGTTACATCATCCTGTATGTCAGCATCAGCTCCTTCATTGAGAAGAAACTTCACAACCTCATGGTGTCCCCCCGCAGCTGCCAGGTGTAGTGCCGTCTCCCCCTCGGGGCCCCGCATGTTCACATTGGCACCACACCTAGTTACAACAAAAGGCTAAATATAGATGCACACCCAACACTTATTCAATTAACCCACACAACACTACAAAACATCAAGTTCAGATATCATTCTCCTCTTAAGACTTACTCTCTTTGTCCCATATTAGCAAAATCAATCTTCCTACAGACAAAGAACAAAGGATGTGGAGTGTAAAAACTTGTACTCACCACACCAAGTCCTGGCAGCTGTTTAACTGCCCATAGCTGGCTGCCCAGTGCAGGGCAGTAAGTCCATGCTCATCAGTGATGTCAACATACTGCTCCAGTTTCACGTCGTCACGAGTTATTTCTCCGCGACCAGCCTTAGCGTGTAAGCTACAATCTGGCTGGGGCAACTCCGGGACTCGCGCCTGCGTATTACCTGCAAAAGCGACCTTGAATGTTTTACCTACTTCAAACCCACAAAGAAACTGCTAGAAATCAATAGATCTAGTCAACCTAACAGAAAAAATACACTCTGTCACTGACGTACCTCTCTGCAAATTGGTTAATGCAGTACACTGCACAGATTTGTACGGCGTAAATGCGCTTTTTCTTACACCATTCAAATTGGGCGCCCATCGTTGATAGCCCCCGCTTCCACTTTTGCTGCTATCCTGACTTCCCGAATCATATTCGAGCTTATAAGTCTCCAAATTTTCTTGTTTTTCTTGCTTTATATCAAGGTTTTTACCCTCATGCTTGACAGAAACAGCTTCTTCCATTTTTTCAGATTGTTTTGTATTTTTAATCAACAACACAACAAAGAGACAGACGGAACGGAACAGATCACTGTTTTGACAGTTAATAATGTTATGTTGGCAGTACTGAACTTGCCACTGAAATTCTAAACTAGTTTAAAGATAAAGTAACCTATACATCTTTCCATTTATATCTCTTACATACTACTAAAGATTTTACATCGAAATTTCGCACTACATAATTATTATTTCTAAAACTATGCTTTCTGTACTTTCTAATTGGTAACGCAACTACAAGGGCCTCCGTTTTCAATCTAACACTCGTTTGTCGATATCATTGTCGAGACTCTAGAGCGGGTAAAACAGTCAAACTGTCAATGTCACAATTTGTCAATAAGTTAGAAAGAAGTTTGAAACTTTGAAAGTTTTCATAACAACCGTCAGGAATTCAGGCTAAAATTCTTACTTAATCAACTAATTAATTTTAAAGAAAATTAGAATAAATTAATATTTTAAGGAAAATGTCAGCGCTGGGGAGTTTGAGTCAAGGAAATCAACAGTTACTACAAGATCTACAAAATGAACTAACGACCGCTAATCAACTTCTAAGACTGATGTAAATATTTTTATTAAAATGAACTAGTTAGAAACCTCTAAAGGACCAATCGCTTACTTTTTCATGCAGTTATAAACCAATGAAGTTAAACTTTCAGGTTGATTCTTAGTTGGTTATCACTGCCTATGTTTATTTCGAAATAATAGTAGATTTCTGCTATGACATTAGCAGATTGAATTCTGTTTCATACTGAAATCAATGTTTTCACATTGTTGCACTACATAATGTAACTATAAATCTGTTGTGACATTGTAGGGTGAACTACCATTCCTTCACAATTACGCTAAAGAACATAACATTATTTTCTTGTTTTGCATAAGAATTTCTGGTTCTTAGAACTTAAAAAACTTCATAATTAATTTCCAATCTTGTGCTTATATCAATGTTTGCTATTTGTTGGTACAACAAGAACTTATTAAACTATATTTCAAATGATACAATGATACAGTTGTGTATAAAAGGCATGAGACTTTTATAAATGTAAATCCACTTAACTGATCAGTCCCCAACCGTAGACTCTTTCTACTTGCTTCTCCACTGACTCCATTATAGTCCTTATTTATGGTGTTTAGATGACTAATAAACCAATTTTGGGGATTTATATCAGGTGATTGTGTAACGTAAGAGTTAAAACGAGTCAAGTTCCAATGATAAACTGATGTTTTGTCCTATTTCTTGTGTAAAACAGATTTAGAAGTCATTATTACTTCACACCAACAATTGAACTATCATATTTATTTATCAAGTACTTATCATAATAAAATCTATAGTTAGGATGTTTGTATAGCTATAGTATTATCTTAATTTTCATTTATAAGACATGATATAAAATGAGCTACAAATTTTATATTGCTTTTGGAATAACCAAATTATTTGCTTGTAGCTATTTCACATACTACATTGTAAGATGAAGTGAAGATTTAAACAACTAATTAAATTTTACAGATCATTAGAATTAGAGCAAATCAAGACCTTTACTAACCCTGCAGGAGATTTTGCAGCCAATATACAAAAGGTGAGTACAACTGAAGTCATATTTACCTACCTGTTTATATATATACCTGACTATAAACATGTAACACCCAATACTAGTTAAAAGTGCAATAATAGCATAGATATTTGGTATACCAAATTTTTTATTGCCATTTGTATAAAAGTTTGATAAAATCATTACCTATCTATCATTTTCCTCTGTTAAACTGTCCAGTCAGACAGGCATAAGTCTGCTAAATCATACACCTTTGGGATATAACAAGAGTGTGGTACTTATTTATGTTTTGTATCATTTTAATTACAGAATGCAGAACTCATGAAGAAGCTAGCAAACCTTCAACAGGTAGACCTAACCAAATTACCACCTTTTACTAGAAAATACATAGATCTGAATGAGAATGCAAACCAAAATGTGTCTTATGAAGAACACAATACATTCAGAAATGAGTCTGAAATGGATGAAAGTCAGTAAACATATGTAGTTTGTTTTGAAAGAACTGACATTCAAAACAGGGTGTCTGAGTGGGTTCCAAAATATACTTTGACCTCTTTTTAATCTCTTGTCTGCCACTATTCTTCTTTTTCTCTGTCGTATCGCTTTTGGCAGAGTGACTGTGGTGCCACTATAAGAGACAGTAAAAATACATTGCGTATCTCTTAGCTTCTCAGCAGACTAGGGATTAAATAATGTTGTATATAGTGCATGTCTGCCATTATGGACCACAATTGTGAGTTTATTTATGTTTATTGTAATTGTATAAGTCCACATTTATGTAGATTTAATATTTCACCTAAAAAGTTTAACATGTCATACAATGTAAGTATTTATTTATGATTGTTGATCCTATAGTGAACAAATAATACTATTACTAAGCAATAATAAATACTCAAAAGTTCGTTCTTTTATTGTTGTGTAATTGGGAGAGTTAATTATAAGTAATAAAACACATTTTATACATAAATTCTTTATTTATTTTGTGACTAATTTTATAGTTCATCACAATTTTAACTTAGAATAAAATCTTTGTTAACAGGATAACATATACAAGGCAACATGCATTAATTTGAGCTCCTTTAAATTAGGCCGTATTATGTATGTTTTAATAATAAATCTTGGTCTTAGAAATCTTAGTAGTATTCAGAAGTCTCTTTAGACATTTCGGCCATCAAAGTACACACTATCTTATAAGAACAGTTGATTAATTAACTAGTAACATTTAATTTATTTTAGATCTGAGTTAAATTATTTAGTACCTAATAATGGATCCAACATTGGCACGCTAACTTTCATTCCTCACTCGTGTGAATTTCTTTCGCCACCTTCCATTTATAATTCATCAGTATCACACTCTTATTTACACGTTTTAGCACTTAGTAAAATACTTAATCTGAATCTCATAGGAGAGGAAAGTATTTATAAACGCAATTTATAAGTCCATAATATTCCTTCTCAGTAAAGCCATGGTAACAGCTTAAGACTAGATTAACTACAAAAATAACATTAAGAGTTATTGAAATACAGCTGCTTTTTCTTTGAATGCTTGCCTCCGCATCGCCTTTTCTTCGGCCTCTCGACGTTTCTCCTCTTGTTCTTGGATTATTTCATTGTGGAACTTATTGCTTTTAGCGAGTTCCTCGATCTTAGCTTCGAAGAACGTCTTGGCTCCGTTCACTCCAACTTGGTCTACGTTGATTTCTGTCAGTCGTGCAAATGCGTCTAAACCAGAGTCTGTCTCCAGTTCCCCGGCGCGGGCTTTCCTGTAAAACAAATTCGGACCGGTGAAAATCAGAACATAAACCCTAACCTGTCTTACATTTGAATTTCTGAATAATTTACGTAATTCGTATTAATTTCGTGCATCAATATTAATTAGGTAAGTACCTAATTGATTGAGTATGAATAACTACAAACATAATTCACAAATAAGGTGCCACTTCATTTTTTCCTTTTATGGACACGCCATTATGCCATTGGTAATTCATTCTTTTCATTTCAAAAGTGACTCAATTGTCTATTGTGAGTCAATATAGGTATGGGTATTATTGCTATGACGCAGGCAGTAGGGACTGGCAATTAAATGCGATTTATTACTATTTTATAAGACCCGACCGGTCAGTAGGTTCTTTCCCACAACACCTACGTATTTACCTTCTTACATACATGCTTCTGATTCAACAACAAACAGGATAAAAGTTAAACTAATAAACTATTGACGCTCTATGTCTTTTTTCACCAACTAAGTTTTACAATCATGCGAAATTATTCGTATTTTTTACATTATAAGTGAACTAGAATACATTTAAGAACTTTCTGCAGTTTTTTCAAGCATTTTTAATGAAAATAAAATATTCTATTTACCTATAAATGAGTAAGAATTCTCGGAAGCTTATTCTGTTATCTCCGTCCTCGTCGACTTCCGAAATCATAGCTTTCAGTCCAAGATGAGTTTGTGGTGCTCCCAAGCGCTCCATCATTCGTTTGACTTCGGTCAAGTCAAGGTAACCGTCGCGACCTTCATCGAATCTGGAACAAAGAAAACAGTATTGATTATGTGCCTGCCCTTTATATTTTAGCACTCAATATTTCTACTTTCTGACTGCTTATAACCATCCTAGCTATAAAGATACTAAAAGTTAGACTATTGACGCCTGTTTGATACGTTTTGTTCTTAATTCGTCTTTCAATTAAGGACGTATCAATTGTCTTTAGTCTATTTACTTTATGTATTTCACAAATTAAAATGTAATACGCTTTTTCAATTATATCGCTGTTTAGGTAGCTTGGATAGGTAAGTAACTTATGTTTAAAAAAATAATAAATTTAAATAAGTACGGTAATGATTGTGTACACTTTGAAAAGTGGCCCGAGGTACCTACCTAGTGTCCCTATTTCTAAATTGTAACAGAAAAGTACAAGGAAAGTAAGTAAGTAACATGGTAGGTATATCTATTAGAAAGAAGACACACATTTTGTCACATAATGGAACGAATGACCGTTACGTTATTCAGTGTCATGTACGGGGAATGCTAATTTATTACGCTTAAATAGGTAGGTACGCCACTTTCGCTCAACTCGGTTTGAAAATAATAAAGACGTTTGCGTAAAGCACAGAATTTTCTAAATTGTAATTAATCAACAAACTATGTCTCATCATCATACGACAAATTTTGAATTTATGAAAGTTGAAGCTTGGTTTATGATTATATCATTGATTAAATCTTACGTCGTTAGTACTGCTTAAGATTATGTTAAACATGACATATCTACATAATATTATCTGCCTAATCGTAACTATTTCAAAAATTGGCTGTATGTAAATAAGATATCAGACCAAATACTTTTCTCGCTCCAAAATAAAGCGTGTCAACATGTTCCTCGTGCAAGAACTCTTTGTTTACCTACTTAGGTAGGTAAGTCTTTCTACATTACCTAGGTACTTATTTTTTAAACATAACTATTGACGAAAATTATTGGAAAGTGTTTAAAAATTTTGCCCTCAAATATCGTCGGAAAATAGTCGATGTGAATGAACGGACATGACGTCAAATTGATTGTCAATCATTTTGAATGAAAATGACTCCTTTTCAACATTAAGTAGATACTGATATTATTAGTCACCTAACTACCGTATTACTAAGTTTTAGGTACTTCATTGGCTAATTTTGGTACATGGTGACTTCATATTTGGTGGTGGTACCGCTGCCAGTTGTTTTGTCAAACAAACATGACTAAAGACTTGTTGATATGAGTCGCACGTCCCTGTTTGACTAACTTAGGTACCTATATCACCTAGTTACATTCATTGGTGAATTGTTGTGGTTCGTGAGTAGTGTTTGTACTTATACACTTCACTACCTATGCAGTATATACCTTGTTATTTTTTTCTTGGTCATTCATAACATGTACTTTTATAATGTTAAACAAATCCGTATATTTAGATTATGAAACTATTTATTTCTTCCTTTCGTTGTAACTTTACTTATTTAGAGGTATAATAACATGGTTGAGCCATTACAAACTTCAATGGTGCTGTTTCATCCTACGTGGCGTTGGCGTAGTTATTAGTTGAAGAGAACTAATTAGATACCCACCTGAGTACTTAGTACTAAAACACGACTTAAAACATTTATAATAGCTAGTCCACGCCGTAGTACCTACATATTATTCCATCTAAGGTAAACCAGTTTTGTTAAGTATAATGGATTTAATTGTGGTTGAGTAATGATGACCACTTATACCTAGGTATATATTCAGTCTATGTTCGCCTTAGTTGGGTGTGGTACTTACCATTAAGTATTTATTTTTGTCAATGCGCTCAACATATCTGATAAAACTGCAGCAAATTATGATATTAACCGAATTAAGTATATCTAGGTTTCGGCTTAGGTACTGACTTATTATTTTTTTATATTTGCGCAGACGTTTGACCACTATCTCACTATTTAATTGAAACGTTACGTAGCTAAACGTGTACTAGGTATTTCCCATAATATTTACAAGAATTAGAACCTATCAATTATTATATGCCATAAAGTATTGATATCTCTAATTTATCGTGTTATATATTAAGGTTATAAAATATCACTATCAATGTAGGCATCTGCTTTTTATATTTAGTCACCTGTTTAGATAACAGGTATTCCATATTTTAATGTGTGTTACATAATATTTATCAATCTCACTGGATACTTGTTTTGTTGGTCTTTAAATACCTACACCTTGACCTGTCCGTCTAAAGTCTATGTAAAGCGTAAAATAATGCTAATTTGCTACGGATAGCAAGTCATGTAGCATGTAGATGTAGACACATGTGTATATGTGGATGCGAACTGTAGGTAGTGTGCAATAGAGTGGGACAAGCAAGGCCATATGTCCCCTTATTTCATTAGCAACCGTTAGCAACCAGTAGCGAAACGATAATAATAGGTAGGTACCTAGATAGATACTCGTAGATATTACGGGAAGCGTAAAACTGTGATTTATTGTATCCTTTCAAGACTGTACGTACCTACCTAACTACGTCATGTACGTATTTGATTGTACACGCGTTGGTTATGTATGTAGGTAGTTACCACTCCTAGTAGTTCTATAAAGAACTAGTACCGTATCCTTGGGTACATTCCAGATAACAGCTCAGTCACCTAGTGCTTTATTGACTCTAAATAACTGTTGACGTTGTTACAAATTGGCTTGATAGGTACCTACTTACGTAGAGAAAAACGGATATCTATAGGACCTGCCAAAGTGTTTATATTTGCAGGTCATTTAAGAAATTATTTTTCTAAATTATTAAGATTTATAGAGTGTGACTGCGTGAGTGCTTTAAATACGTGTGTGAATGTGACGAATAGTATAATTTTGAAGGCAAATTAAGTCAGTGCTCATTTCGCATACAAAAATAAATCTAGCACTTACTTAATATATAGGTACTAGTAGATATCTATTTAACTATGACGTACTCACTCACCTACTTCCTACAAAATAATAAACTCCTACATACATAGGTACTTATTCTAATTCTAGACATGGACCTTATACTAACAGGTTACGAATCGTATTGTCTTGTAAGTCGTTTCAAAATTCAAGGTAAGAGAAGGCAACCACAGTCTAGTCTAGACTCTAGTTCGCCTCATAAATTAAATACAAAAGCTAGTCTTAGAGCATAACATAAACAATATTAAGTAAGGATATGGGTTCGTTTGATTGTATGCAAATCAATTAGGTCAACTACCAGTCATTAAATTAAAGTATCGTCTCAAGTAGACCCAGTGTCTCTTTGTCATAAAATTTCATTTTACGATACCTTTGACTTTTAAAGGTCACTGAAGGATCAATTCAGTTAAAATAGGCACCTTAGCAAATACGTTTTAAAGTACCTAGGTAAATCCCCTAAGGTTGGGTCTCCAATTACAAAATTCAGAATGAAGTAAGAGAACGAATTTTGGACATTAGCCTAGTTTTTGGGCTTTAAGCTCGCCCACTCTTACATAGGTTAATGGGTAAAAATGTAGGAGTATCTGCTATACACCTTGGCCCATTCCTTCGGGGCTTAATATTTTGTAAATGTAGTTATTAACTACATAATAATATGTTCTTAATACTTTGTTATATAATATATAAGCTTATGAAATTTATGGGCATAGGTACTCGGTAGATATTGCACTCGCATATCCCTAGGGTTGTCTGGCTACGTTAGTTGCTAGATAGTACCTATATAAGTTAAATTGAAATATTGCCAAGATAACTGGCAACGAAGAAAAACCAAAGCCAATAAAGATAAAAAATAGAACCAACATTTTTTTTTGTTATCTATGATTCCTACAAACCAGTATATTAATTATTTTAAAAATATTTGCTTTTCGAGTATTAACCTAATAGGAAGGTAAATGAAATTGATAAAATTAATAAGCACCAAGTTTAAGGAAAAAACATTCCAATCATTATAAACGATGTTTAAAATATACACGAATGCCTAAAGAATTCATTAAAAATAATGAGCTAAAGATAACTTAATAGTCTATCGTATGAAGATACCCACACAGTTAGCTGTATTTATGGACTGGAAAACCTGCCTTGTTTACGTAAAGGTCGCAAGTTCAACACAAGGATCTTAGTTCGATCACAGATTTGATTTAGATTTATCGGTAAAGAACCTAATTTTAAAGACGGCTAAAGGACCTGCAATAAATATTGGATATGGTTTTTGTTGACATTTTACTATCCATGCACCTTTATAGACTAGTATAGTCCCGACCTGTCTGTTGAAAGCCGATGCCTGCATTCATAATCTTGTTAAACTTGTTTGTCACTGGTGAGCACACGTTTAGATGCAATATTTTCTTACCACTCTTACTACTCGAATCACTTTTACTTATTCAGTATCAACGATCATTTGCATCTGCTTTTCTCCAGCCAAAGGGTCAATACTCTTTCAATGAATAGCGCTTCCTACTCCCATGTTATCACTCTTTCATTTATTATACTTATTGGATCTAGAATTCTAGACAACCTATCTACTATACACTTGTTTGAATTTTTGAAGATATCATAACTAATCTTTCATAGGTACTAGGTCTAAGTATTAAGCCATTTGTTAGTCTCACAATTCTTTGAAGGCCTTAAATTCAGCAGCGTTAATCGGTCTTAAAAATACGTGTAGGTAGTATAGCCAACCTGACGCATTCATACACCACGAGTGTTCATAACTAGGTTGGTTTACTACTACTAACCGAGTTATTCAAAGGAAGTATGCATCTCTCATACTGAGTTCCCTAAACAGTGACACTCAGCGGGGGACATCTGACTCATGTATTTTTACGACGTAGGACAAATAACCAATATTATGGTCGCGTATTATTATACAATTACCCCAATGACGTAAATGATAACAATGAAGTAAAGTCGCCGTTTAAATGTGTTTATTTAACAAATTATGTTCGATTTATGTGAAACTGGCTTCCATTTTGTTAATGTTACCTATGGCCATTTTACAATGACCATTGTCCAAAACAAGCGCAAACACA